ATAATGTTTTTTTCCAGCGCTCTGACAGCCTTCCAGGCATCCTGGCCGTGCAGGGAGGGAGCTGATGCTTTCAAGAGCTCTAACACTTTCTCGCTTTTTGGCCCGTCCCGGTGTTGCAGGAACAGTAATGAGTCAAATATTAGTTGGAAAGAAACAACCCCAGAATTCGCTTCCCTCCCTCGAAACCCCCTCCAAACCCCGCTTCACTGAACCAGGCCCAAATCGTTTGCTGCTTTTCTTTTTCCCCTTCTCTTTTCCTGCCAGGTCGGTGGGGAACGTGTTTCGTGACAGGCTTTTTTTTAACCTACAAAATGATTTTTGAAACAGGAAGATCCTCCCAAAGTTTGCCTCTCTCGCTGGCTGGCTTTTCTGATAGTTTTGGACTGGTGAAAATCCAAAGGGAAAAGGCTTCTTCCAACAGTTTTGACCGCTTCTAGTACCGGCGACCGTCTCTGAGGGGGAGACAGAGGGGAGCGGTGGAAGAGCAGCTTCGCGGACTGACTGGCGGCTCCTTGGGAAGAGGCAGTCCTCGACCGACCGCTGGAAAAATGAGCCTGTCGAAGAAGAAGGATCACCCCCAAACACAAGCCGTCTTTCTACTAAATTTTAATTTATTTCTTTTTTTTTTTGACAAAGACATCTAAATTATACACTGAGTAACAACATGACCAGATATTGCAAATACCCCTTTTTGGTGAAATTCAAAAAGGGAACATAAAAGAAAGAGCTTGTGTGGGCCGGCCGGCCCAGGGAATGCAACAGCCGCCACCTTTTGCTTTTGCAGAAGAAAGAGCCTTGTGGGGCAGGGGGTGAGTTTGAGTGGGCTGGTCTCATCCCAGTACACTTAATAAAAAAAATAATCGGGTGATAAGTTACGGTTTTGACAGAGAAAGAAGTCATTAACATGCAAGAGGCAGTACTGGTAGGGGGAAAACCGGGAGAAGGTTGCATGAGGCTTTGGCAAGCATTCTCCGAGGGCAAGGAGAGACACTCTCCGTCAGCGCTGCAGCGGGGGGAGGCGGCCGCAGCCGGAGGAGGACACGAGTCCCCGCGCCCAGCGCTCGTGGTCAGAGCAGGGGCTTGGAACCAGGTTTCCTGATGTGCCCTTGGAAAATTTCACTTCTCCATCATCTCTCCCCTCCAGAGAACACAAAGGGGCAGGAGAGGCATCTTTCATCTATCGCAAAGGTAAAACCAGATTTAATGATGTGAAAGTGAAGCAAGACAAACTCCCCGCGGGAGGGGAATTAACCCCTGCGACAAACTTCTCGAGGCCTGGGGCGGATCTGTCTGTCACTCCGAGCCTTTAAATCAAGGCCGGGTGTCTTCCTACCAGAGGTGCTCTAATTCAACCGCAAGTCACCGTGCCGGCGGGGTGGCCTTTAATGGGCTGTGTTATGCGGGAGGTCAGGAGAGAGGAGCGTAACGGTCCCTTCTGACTTTAAAACCCTATGAATCGATGCGATGTGTGGCAGAGCTCCACCCATACCAATGAGACAGTTTGCTTCCCCCGAATCTCACTTAAAAGAGGGCAAAGCAGACAGAGTTGGAAGGACAAAGCCTCGCGTATGCAGTTACCATAAACCAAACAGGAGCTGAAGGGCTGGGAGAGGGGTAGGGGTTTCACTGAACGGCGTTTTGGCTGGCCCCAGCCAGTTTTACAGGTGGTATTTAGCCAGGGGACAAGAGCCCTGCGGAGGGTATAGCGGATGTAAACACATTCAGGTAAGGAGCGGCAAGTGAACGGAACCTCAAATCCTTTTACATTTTCACCAGGTCGATGCACAGAGAGATGTTTACAATACAAGGAGCATTTACGGCCACCACTGCAGGGTGATTTACTTAAGTCGTGGTCATTTTAACCCTCCACCTCCATCCTCCCAGCATGGCTTGCTCTATCACGGTCTTCCTCTCTTACCACCTGGCGCAGGTAAACGAAATTCATCTACTGGATTACAGGTGAAGCTCTGGCTGGTACAGATGCACGCAACCAATACACGTAGCTACACGCAAACATAACGAATGAGCCAGCAAACACTTCTGGATCCTGAGTTCAGTAAGGCAATTTTTCCTTCCAAACTGGAGCGATAGGAAAATTACTAAATATTTCTTTTACACACATTTCCAAGTTTAACCAATGTGAGCCTAAAAAAAAAACCCAGGCCAAATTACCCTCTGGGATGCTTTTCGGATCCGGAAAGCTAACTGTGGCACAGGTAAGTTTGCCACTGGTAAAAAAATAGGGAGCAGGGAAGCACCAACTCAGCTCCCTCACAAGTGAGCAGGATCAATGCCCGAGCCCCCAGGGGGACCTTGCTCTGTCCTGCCTGGGCCAGAGGAGGGGTACCCAAGCATTTCACTCTGCACCTGGCATGCAGTGCAGGCAAATCCAAAGCTCGGGAGTATCTGCCACAAAGCTCTGCCACTCAGCCAGCACAAAGCATTCGGGAGTATTGCCACAAAGCTCTGCCACTCAGCCAGCACAAAGCATGCCTTCAAGAAAGGGCTGCAATTTTTTACAGCGCTTGCATCAGGCAAATGCATTCATTGCAAGGAAAAGGCGATGCTGGGATGCATTTCTCCTCCTCGGGCTGACCCAGGAACATGTGGTGCTCAGATTCCTGGGGTTCCTGATAAGCCAATGCAGCCAGGGAGTCACTGAACGAGCTATGTTTAAATGAACATCTCTCCTCATCTTACGACTCCTTACTCAATCCAGCAAAGCTGGAGCTGTGTCACTTTGCACCATTAGCGATTGCTTAACAGCTCACTTGAGCCTGCTCTTTTCCCCCTCCCAGCCATCCGGTTTTTTGGGATGCTTTTCGGATCCGGAAAGCTAACTGTGGCACAGGTAAGTTTGCCACTGGTAAAAAAATAGGGAGCAGGGAAGCACCAACTCAGCTCCCTCGCAAGTGAGCAGGATCAATGCCCGAGCCCCCAGGGGGACCTTGCTCTGTCCTGCCTGGGCCAGAGGAGGGGTACCCAAGCATTTCACTCTGCACCTGGCATGCAGTGCAGGCAAATCCAAAGCTCGGGAGTATCTGCCACAAAGCTCTGCCACTCAGCCAGCACAAAGCATGCCTTCAAGAAAGGGCTGCAATTCTTTACAGCGCTTGCATCAGGCAAATGCATTCATTGCAAGGAAAAGGCGATGCTGGGATGCATTTCTCCTCCTCGGGCTGACCCAGGAACATGTGGTGCTCAGATTCCTGGGGTTCCTGATAAGCCAATGCAGCCAGGGAGTCACTGAACGAGCTATGTTTAAATGAACATCTCTCCTCATCTTACGACTCCTTACTCAATCCAGCAAAGCTGGAGCTGTGTCACTTTGCACCATTAGCGATTGCTTAACAGCTCACTTGAGCCTGCTCTTTTCCCCCTCCCAGCCATCCGGTTTTTAAAGCAAGGCTGTGCTACTCCGGCATGCATGTCCTGCCTCAGTGCCGGAGACAGATGCACTCAGAGGGTGCTGACTCACGGACGCACGGAGATTAAAGTTGGATTGCTAAAGCAGTTGCTGTCCCAGCTGTCCCTCTGCCCCCAGCCACAGCAAAGACAGCTGAACTACACGTAGATCAACCGCTACTGTACATCCTGATGTATGGGGGGACCCGGAATCGGCCCCAGATGATTTTAATCTGCCGGGCTGTAACGCGTAGGCGGCCAGGGGCTGCTTCACATACAGTGCAGATGTTTCTGCCGTGAGGTGGAGACGTCCAGGGGAAGGGAGGAGCAAAGAGCTGGGAGCTCCAGGGGTGTCAGCCGTCTGCCTGGGTCCATGAGTCAACTCGCTGACGCGTGGTAAAGCCACATGCTTTAGTACACGCAGCTTTCCCCATACTGCCCGCCGGTCCGTCTCCAAGAGGTGGAAGGGGTAATGCAGTCCCTAGTCATTCTCTGGCCTTTCGCAGGCAGGCAGCAAACAAAGCTGGCAAGCAGGGCAGTGGGATTATTTTACCATCTGTGCATTAGAAACTGGCCCAGGAGTCACCAAGCTCACTTCATGCAGGACATGGCTGCTTTGGCGTGCTAATGACTCCTGCTCACTGTCAGCTGGGGCTAGATTTGAATCGGGCATGAGGAGGTGGAAAACACATTCTCTTCCCTATTTCAGCGACTGCATCTTTTTAGAGGAAAGCCAGTTCAGGGAAGAATGAATCCTCGTTTTAAAGAGTGCTTCCCATCTGCCGTTCATCAGGCTTCCCACCCTCCACCAGGGCAATCCGTAGCCGGCACCGGGCTGGGGGGACCTCAGGCCCTGGGCAGCCAGCCCGCCGCGGGGCAGTCCCCCGAGTCCGCCACAGGGCTAGGCAAGGCCTGCCGAGGAAGCGGTGTAGGAGAATATATTTTGCACATTTCAAAAAGGAAACCTGGGACCTGGTATCTCATTCTAGAAAGTAATCATGGGCTTAATTGCATTTTGCTGCAGAGTTACCTTAACATCAAGGGAAAATCAACAGGGATTGTTCAACATCAAGACTAATCTCACATATGGAACTTACTGAACGTAGGAACCACGTTTTTGCTGGCTCAAGGTGAAATGCTGGGCTAAATTCTCCTTCAGCTGTGAGAAGAGCCCTAGGCACGCTCATCCTGCATTATTCCAACTGTAAAGAGCTTCAATTATACACATATAACCCTTCTCTCCCTTCTACGGCGGTGTCGCAATGCAACAGTGCCTCGTTATGATCAAACTCCTCTTTTATGGCTATAGGAATATGTGAAAGTCTTCTACCCTCATTACACAAATGACTCCTTAGCAGCTTTATTTTAAGAAACTACCCACAATTGGTAACACAACCGCATTTTATCTGTCACTGAGGGGAAGCTGTGACTGACACCTGAGCGTGTCCTCAGCAACCGCAAACCCGCATGTATAGGGCAGGTCCTATGCAGCTAAGCAACTACAGTAACTCACCACTCCCTCTGCTCCACACTGAATCACAGTCTTGCTTCTGCTTACAAACTTGCTTGCTAATCAGACATTTAGTACTATTTATGCATAGGGAGGAAATATATAATTCCTTTATTGGGATAAAAAAACGATACTAAAGAGCAGTCAAGTTCCAAATCCAGCAGTAGGTTTTAACCGATGTTGTTCCCTTTTTTCACTCTCTTTCTTTTTTTTTCTTTTAACAGCTGTAGCTGTGCACAGATGGAAAAACATTTGGTCAGAAAGCAGCAAATTAGTGTTTTCAGGCTGGAATTCTGCTCCTACCGCTCCTCCATTTCCATGCAGCTCAGAACGCCTTATTTCTTCTTAGCATTGACATTTTTGCACACCCAATTCATGCCGTCCTTCAGACAGAGAAAGGTAATGTTAGTCAAGTGAAGGGAGCAGGAGCCCCCCAACCCCCCCCGCCTGCCATTCTGCCAGTACCGTGGTCTGCCTCCTCATCTACCCCCCGCCTGCCCTCTGTGCCCAAAAACGCCGTGGGTAAAAAAACAAGTGCTTCATTGCTCGGTAGATGTTGTCACACAGAGGTTATTAAATCTTTCATCTGACCATAAAAGTATCATCATCTCATCATGTCGCTATGTGTAGGTCCTTTGAGGAAGGATCACTTTGCAGTCAAGGTACATCAGTGGCAGATGAAGGCTCAGTTCCAGGTTCAGCTACAGATGATTTGTATAACCTCGGGCAAGTCATCTTATCTTTGAGACCGTGGATTTTAGGGGGCTGTTTGTTATACAGTCAGCTCCCTATTAAGAATACGTCTCTAATTCTCTGCTCAGCTGCAAGCCTTGAAATCCAGATCCACGAAAGCCACTGAAATAACTGGATCTGGACCCTGCTCCCTGTGCCTCAGGGCCCCCACAGAAAATGGGCCCCGAGGGGTCCCACAGGGGTTCAGTGAGAATAGATGTGGTCACATTTTAAGAGGCCGATATACTCTTTAGGGTATTTCCGTAAAAACGTGTGTGCGACATCTCTGACCACTGCAAGCAGGACAGTAACACTTCTGCCGTGAATACCCGAGTCGTGAGTTTATTGCTGAGATCCCAGAATGGGATATGCTATGGAAGGGCGAAGCGACATTTTATCTGCTCCTGTCACTTATCTGTTGTGAGATGTGCAGAACGGAGTGCAAGATACACAGTCTCCTCATATTTGTGTCCCGTCAAATCCACTACCTCTACCCTGCCTACAAGGTATCTCTGCTGACAAGGAGGCTCAGGGCAGAAAGAAGGCAGGTAAGGTTTTGTGGATGAGAGGAGAGTGGCACATCTTTGTGCTTGGAAATTGGGCAAACGTCACCTTGGAGTTCTGGAGGGGGAATTTCACTGTATTATGTTCAATGGTCATTTTTGGATCATTAAAACGACAGACCCTAAGACAGACCAGAGCCTTTGGGCCAGCATCGTTGCTAGCCCCGTGGTAGCAGTGTTGCTGGCTTCCTATGCCCTTGTCCCCAGACTGCCAAAAGGCTGCCACAGACCTCAGCTGCCCCAAGGACAGACGGCCAAAGGCACAGCACGGCAGGCCCTTCGGGTGAGCTGAGACCCACCGCCGTGCCTCCATGTTGCCTCTCAGCCACGAAGGTGGTGGCCATGTTGGAGGGGAGCTAAAGAGTTAAGAGAGAAGAGAGGGAGTCCTCAGGGCTTAATCAGAAGCAGAGAGGTTCTCACTTGAAAATACCAATTCACCTTGATAGCTGCGCTATGTGACACTTCTTATCTGAAGGGGAGCAGCAACTTTTGAAATCAGCCCTTGTTGCTGCGTTAAATAAAGAATAAGCGAGCCCAGCTTGTCCTGGGGTACACATGAGGCCCTACGCTAATAACACTTCTAACTCCAACCTTGGGGAGGGATGATGTCTCCAGTTTCATTTATGTATCTCCACAGCAGAGATCAGTGTAAAACAAATTGTCTGAAATCCTCAGAGCAAATGGGAAAAGACGAGAAGTAGATTCATTTTAAGGCCCAGTAGCTTTGTGTCTTCCCCTTTCAATAACACTGATAACCTAGGTGTAAAACATGTAATGCCTTAAGCAATCAATAGCGTGGTTTAAAGCTTATCACTTTAGAGAGAGAGGGAGCGAGTGATTCCCAGCATTAGGAATGCCAGGGCTTAACAATGGGGCTAGGAGGAGAGGTGTCAAGCCTTTGGCTTGATTGTGTGCTGTAGAAATCTGCATGATTGCCTGCAAAGAGTAAAAATAAATAAATAACTAAAAATGCTCCCACAATGATTTCAGCTTCCCCTGCCTCGGAAGCAATAATCACATTTGCACACATCATGGCATACAAGGCAAGCAGAGCTCCTCATTCATTTTGAATGTAGGTTTATTTGCTGAACCAGAACAGCTGAGACAGCTTAAAGTAATAAATATCAGCTGACACCCTCTGCTATTCAGCACAGTAATCCCAGAAACAATACCTCACTGCAAAACAACAAACACCCATCCTATCTTCTACCTAATCTGACCACAACCTGAATTCACAGTGATTAAAACTCTGCCTGCTGCCATTTGAGAGCTCGGGAAGGGGAAAGACAGACCGTTTCAGCACCAGTGCAGCAAGGGTCATAAAGCAGAGTTTATGATGGGATTTACCATGGCTGGGAGCCTGGCTGCATCAAGCATGTAACGAGGGCAAAAGAATGACATAGCAAAATGCAAGAGGAAAGGTGAACTCCAAACAGGCTTGAATTACGTAAGTAGGTCACCAAACTTTTAAAGCAGGAATAGATTTTAAAAACTCTCTTCTGGCATGAGTTAATTGACAGAAAAAATCACATTTAATTGTAAATATCTCCCTGCCTGACAGTGATAAAGGGAAAACGAACATGCTCAGCTCTACGTGTGTTGTATCAAAGAGCTATGCGTGAGACACCTTCCTCATCTTCAGCGACAACGCAGCTACATCTGTAGCTTCTGGTGCAACTTTGTTGGGGGGCATGTGTTCTGCAGTGTCACCAAATGCTTTGGAGAATAGCAAATGCAATGGAAAGCGAAAGAAACTAAAAGGTACGTTTGCAGTTTTTCTACCTAAGGTTTGAAGCAGGACGGAGGGTTGGCAAGATAGAGAAATCCAGGGAAGCTGCTACAAACACAAAGAGCTGCTATGGGGAAGGCACACGGGAAGGAGCTTGAAAGAGTCAAGTCCACAAGGAGTCAACTGTTGTCATCCTTTGTCCCTACACACTCTGTCTCTATATCTGCATGCTTAAAAGATGGCTCTGTGCAGAAAGTACAATCCCTACAGTAACATTTAGATCTTGATAGATGTCCTCACGCTGCTTTGTTGAGACACAGAGACATTGGCAGGTACTCTGAGGATGGAGACGGATACAATATTAGTATTCCAGCCTCAAGTCAACCCTGGGAAAACTTAGCCAGGGAAAGATTTCAGATCTTTCAGCTTTGCCTCTCTTAGCTCCTTAACAAGCAGCTAGTAAACTTGACCAAAGCAAAGAGAGAGAACTCCAGGGAAGAGGGTAATACTCCTTGCAGAGAAATGCTGCTCGGCACAACCCCGCCTTGCTGCAGTCACATTTGCTATTGTGCCAAGGGAGTTGTACTCTAATGCCCTTTGGGAAAGGACTGGTAGAGCCTTCCCCAGGAGAAATAAAAAGTCCTGCTTGAGATTAGCCCACTGCTTGCTTATTCTCTGCATTATCAGCTTTGCGGCTATGGGAGTGAAGTAATCTGACTTCAAACACAGCGAACAAGTCCTTTTCGCCCCATAAAAAGCCTCCCAATTTCTCCTCCCCTGCAAGCCAGGGATCAGGCAAGGCCACAAACTTGTGACCCCTAACGTGACCTTAAGGACAGCAAAGCTTAATCCTTTCATGTAATCCTCTGTCTGCCATAACAAATTGGGTCAGGCAAGTGCAAAATTCTCCATCTCTAGCATTTTTGGTATGCATTATTTTAACTGTCACTTTCTTCTCCCTCTGCACAGCTAGGGATGTGCCTTCATTATCTGTCATCTCTCTGCACCTCCAGTCATCATACAGGCTGGCTTTTGCAGGCTCCCGCAAGTACATTATCCATTGTTTTTTGCCTGGGTGCAAGCTTTTCTTTTGTCCTCTGAGACGTCGTATCCCTGATGCAGCGCTGTAGACTCCCTCCTTACCCTGCTTAAAAATCACAAGGCTTTGCCCTGTAATGTGGAAACATGGTTGCTTTTCCTCAACAAGCAATGGCTCTGCCTGCCCCAGGAGAGCTGCAGTCATGGAAATTGGTTTTAAATCACATTTACAAGTAGCCCCAGAACCTTGTTAAGATGTGGAAGATCCCCATCTAGCCTGCCTTGGCTAAGGAGTCTTTAAGACAAAACCTAGCTCTGAGGATACAACATTGCCGGGGGGTCCTGTTCTGAATCTTGCCCTTATGAAAGTGCTGAATCGCAGCATCAGCGTAACTTAAGTCTTGGGCTTCATTCTCAACTGGGTTGAAACAGCCAGGGAGGAGAAGGCGGCTCAGCCATTCCCACAGTCCTTTGGGCCAGACCAGCTCTGGCATAAATTAGGGAAGTTTACTGGCTACTCTCAGTTCCACTGGCTTTTAATGGTCTCCAGGGGGCCATTATGCTTGGGAGACTCCAGACACAATACGCTGCAGCATCGTTCTGGAGGACGATTCCTCGGGGCAGGCTGAGCTCCTGCTGCCTTGATCGGAGGCTCTTGCTTCAGACAAGAAACAAGCTGCAGAGCACAGACCGGTCCAAAGCCTTGAGTCATGTTTAATACACACCCTGGCCCCTAAATAACACCTCCAGCAAGAGGGCAGGCTGTAAAGCAGAGGAGTCCTGCCACCCTTCACCCCACCCCAGCCGGCCAGGGTGGAATGCACATAGCTTTTGTGTACCAAGGACTACAGCTGGAGATCTGGTCACAAAACACAACCCCAAGAGAGCCTATGTGGCACCAGAGAGCCATTGTGAGGCAACAGTTCCCTTATGTTTCTCTGCTGACATCAGCGATCACCTCCCTCGCTTGCTGTACCCTGTGCAAGGGTCTCGGTGTAAGCTGGTGCAGGACTCTGCTCCAGAGGCAGAGCCCAAATGGCTGCGGTGGGGAGAAAAGGCTTTCCTGCTTGCATAACTAGAGCTGAAGGACAAAACCAGACCAAGCAGACATTTTGCTTGAAAAAGCCTCTAAGCATGAGGGATGCCACTCCTCCCTCAATGGCACCATGAAGTCTGATTAACAAGACAAGTGCTGCCCACGGTTACAGTCAGGAGGTAATGAAGTCTTCAGCTGGCATAACTGGGGCTACCAGCTGGCGTCCAGAGGACACTACATGGGGTTTCCAGTTAACCCAGTCACCTCTCTTCTCAGCCTGCCCAGGACATTGCTGGGCCCCTTTTCCAGAGTCCCCAACGGTTAATTTTAAAAGAGAAGATGACAATATGGATTCCCTCCTTAATTAACAGTTTTATTAAATAACCCATTTCAAATAATAGTTAAATTCTCTAAATTTATATCATTCTATTAACCATAATCTAATCTCATTAACCTTGAAATCCCCAGTCTTAACTACCCAATTCTATACACCATGGTGCTAGCAGCTAAACTAATTAAATGACCTTCAAACTATTTCTCCTTCATGTATTGGCATTATTTATCTTTGCTCACTGCTCCTTCAAGCTATCACAAAAATCTTCCCCTATGAACTCTGTTCCTGCATGTACTCAGTACTAGATATGCCACCACTCTTCCTTGCAAAATCCATCAGCGATGTCTCCAATTTTACTCTAGCTAATATATTCCATCAGCAGCGACGGTTAGCGTGCTTGCTCCTTGGCTTTCATTCTGAATACCTGATGCTTCCACGTCTTCATTTATTTTGCTGTCACTCATTGTCATTTCTCAAAGAAGTCCTTAAAGCAGTGACCTGAGATTTAACTACACATAGAGAGCTCCCGTTCTGAGCCACTGGTAGAGATAGTGTGTACCACGATCCTCAAAAACATCTTTCTTAACCTCACTCTTTAAACAAATTCTTCTTTGATTCCCCTAAATTTTGAGCATGTTGACCTCTTCTTAGGGTCCCAGGACTGAAGACGCTGTTTCTTCCTGGGCTGATCCAGGTTTAGTTTAAAAGCCATCTCCCAAACCATTTTGCTCAATGAATTTCCAAGGAAAGGGAAAGCTTGGCATTCTTGCTGTCTGATTTGACAGAGCTGGAGATACAGCAGAAGAGAAATACAGGGGCTCTTTTTCTCTAAGCTGTAGAGAGTTTGCGACTTCCCTGACCTTTCTGCAATAATCATTTATGGAATAAGCTGCAGTATTTAGGGCAATGAGACTGCGGACAACACAGCGGGATGTTATCTGGCCTGCATCTAAATTAATTTGTCTAGATAAGCATGATGAACAAAATACATAGACCTGCAAATACTTTTATTTAGCTCTTGTCTTCTGTTTTCTGGAAGTGAATGCAGAAGCAGATTTCATTTTCCCGGTAGAGGGTATTGGGCTGCGTATTTTATTCTATTGAATGTATAGGGATGCACTGTACTTCAAAGAGAATGCACAGTAACAAGGCGCTATCAACGAAGAAGGGTGCAGCCCACTCCAGAGAGCCCACAGATCAGCTTGAGGAGGAGGCATTTTTCAAAGCTCACAAACAGAAAGTGCCACTTTCTATTGTTTAGTTCTTCCACATCCAACACCTGTCCCTGAATTTCATCTGCCACTTTACTGCCCCTTTGCAGCTGGAGAGCTTGCTTGGACTTCCATAAACTAGAAGAGGGCCTGGAGGAGGGAAGAAGGTGAGCTAGGCCTGCCTGCAACCCTGTGAACTGCACCCTCACTTTCTTGATCACATTTCTTTGGACTTTAATATCACTGCCATTGTGGAATGCATTTCCCTCCACCACCACCACTTCAAAATGAAGATTAGAGTTGAAGCCTTTCATGAGATTGGCTGCAACACAGCTGAATTTGTATCTTAGGTAATTAAATAAAGGCCCTTTGGAGGACACCATCTACTATGTTTAGGTCTAAACATCAGGTTAAGAATTTTAAATCAGAAGAACTGCTGTACTGGGTCAGACCAACGGTCCATCCAGACCAGCATCCCCCTTCTGGATGCCAAGGGAAAGAACATGTAGGAACAGGATCTCCCTTGCTCTGTTCCTCCCTCCCAGTCCATGGCTCAAGCTGTTCCTCATTCAAAAGCTGCCTCCAGATCTTAGTGGTCAGTGATTGCCTGCAGATCTCTCCTTCAGAAATTCACTTAGTATTTTTCTGAACCAACTGGTACCTTTGGTCTCCACAACATCCTGTGCCAATGAGATCCACAATTTAATTACACAACTCACAAAGAAGCACTTACTTTTATTTCTTTTTAGCTGTTGTCTGATTATTTCATTAGGAATGCCTTTCCTCTAACAACGTGAAAAAAGCATATAGTCTATCTGACATTTTTATACCTTATTTTATAAATCCTGAAGATGTTCCCACTCTCTGTCCTCTCTCTTCCAAGCTGCAAGTCCTAATTTATTTATTATCCCCGTGTACAGATGCCACTCTGTGCTACTGATCATTCTTGACAGAGGATTCTCAAATCTCTCCTAATTCTGAGCAGATATATGGACAGTATTTTTTCTGATAAGGGTAGTTAAGAGCCAGAAGAGGTTACCTAGAGAGGCTGTGAAATCTCCATGCCTGGAAATATTTATAACTTGATGGGACAAGGCCCTCAGCAACGTCCTCTAGACTCGCAGTTATCCTTGCTTTAAACATGAGGTTGGTCTAAAGATCTCCTAAAGACCCATCAACCTAATTTTTTGTTGGACTCTATGATTCTACTACTACAAAAATCTTTTCAGATGGGGCAGAGGCAGAAATGCATGTCATGTTCAAGGTATGGGCCCACCATGCCTTTATCCTGCTACAAAAGAAATGTTTTCTGGGATGTTTCTTGTTTGCTTTCTGATAATTCTCCAGCATTTGATTTTCCTCTCTGGCCTTTGATGAGCACTAAGCTGCTGTTCCCAACAATCTGCTTCTGAGTAATGGCAGCTAATTTTGAGTCCATCATCATATGTGCATAGTTAGGATTCTTGTTCCTCATGTGCATTATTTTGCACTTGTCAACACTGAATTTCATCTGCCATTTTACTGCCCATTCTGTATTGCGGGCTTCTTCTGCGACTCTTCATACTCAGCTTGAGACCTGACTATCCTGAACAGCTCTATAGCATCTGCAAATAAGGTTTTACTGAAACTGCAATGAAGATGAATGTCTTCAACATTCTGTTTCTTTAAATATCAGTGAAGGGAGTACTCCTGACTGCTGGGATTGCGAGCACTGCAAATATTTCATTAATTCAGGAAAGCCTAAGAGTGAAATAAACAAACCTTGGTCCCATTTACATTACAAAGAGCTACTATACTGCAGGAACTGGCTACAGCACAGGAGCCCAAGACACAGCTATTACAGTTCAGCAAAGGAACACAGCTCAGACCCCTCGGTGGGTTTTTGCTGCCCCACATGCTGCCATTAGAAGTGGTCCTTGCCCCGTGTGCAACTCTTGCGTTTCTCTGGATCAGAAAAATTGATCAGTTTCTCTCTGGCGCCTGCGTTGAGCAAAACGCCAAACGACATTAGTAGCGAAGGTAAATGAGATTTCTAAACTGCACACTTGAGACAGTCAAAGGGGTTAATAGTAAAAGATGATTTGTTTTGTGAAAATTATTAACCTGACAGCGGTCTCTTTAAAATAAATCAGTGTCTTCATTTGGCCCAGCCAAGGGGTCCTGGGTGGGGAAGCCATTGCTCTCCCCTTTCCTGGGGATGGAGAGATCCCAAGGGCCTACAGCTCCCCCTTCCCTTTGCACAGGCAATGAGACATATGCCCCCCGCATTCTGCGCTGCAAGGGTTTGGCTGCGCTGACCCTCCTCCGTGAGGCAGCTGGCCCAGCCCCACCCTGCAGATCAACAGACAACAATCTCTTACAGATGGCCTGCTGGCACAGCAAGCCTGCTCCAGAGCCTCACCTGTACTCCCTCTCCTGAAAGAGCTGAACAAGACTGGATCTGCCAGACTCTGTCCCGGATTGTGTGTAGGTTCAGTCCCTCGGCAATCTCCGAAGCAGGGGCAGCCGTCAGCAAATCCTGCTTGTTAGCGAATATAAGCACGGGGACTCCACTAAGCTTTTCTTCATCCAAAAGCTCAGCCAGCTCCTATATCATTTACAAGGGAGTGGGGTGGGGGGGAAGATGGAGAGAGGGAAGGGAAGAAAACCTTCAACCACCAGTGGCTGTCTCTAATTAGAAATATATTTAGGGCAAATGCTAGAAGAGTGTGTTCCAGTGAAACCTAGATCTTATTATAAGAGAGCAAAAATGTATACAATCATCTCTGCCCAAAGTTCAAAAGCTATTTCTTCCAATTACAGGTTACAAAAATCTTCATCTTGGTCTGAAATTAGCAGTTGCCTTAAAGGCTACAACTCTGTGTTTTACCAGTCCCTGCTCCCAGGAGACCAAAATTGATGAAACAGCAAAAAACATGTAAATTGGCAGTATGAGGAATCTGTCTTAAGTTATTGCCTGACTGGCATTTGTACCTGAGCAGCTGATGACACCAGCCCTGATACCTTTGCTAATAATGAGTTTCAGGGTTTTGTTCCAAGTTTTATACGCTGCAATTTGAGCAGGAGAAGACTTTTTTTTTCCCCCCCAGAAATGGATATCTCCCTCACACAAGAAAGTGCTGATGGTTTTGAAGGTATTGGCTAGCTGAAGACAAGCTAGATCAGATTTACTAGCTGGATTTTGGCTCCATATGCACAGCACACGTTGGGTGGCATCTTGAGAAATGGGTTTGTTCATTCAAAACTGGGTGACTCAAAGAAATTCTTCTAATAGCTCAAATCTGAGTGGATCTGCAGTGGATCAACGATGGCTGAAATACTTCATGTCTAGGGTTGTGCAATGGCCTCATGTGAAACAAGCACACAGTCTCAAGTCACTTCCCTATGTGAACATATGACAAACACAGCAGAACTTGACCCTGTAGGGACTGCTGGCATTGCAGATAGATGGGTACATGAGATTTTTGTGGGCTCCTTATTTAGCTAGGAAGGTCTCATACTCAGATACTGTCCTAACATCTTTCATCTACTGGCTAGAAACTTTTGGATTAAATGAGTGCAGTTGGGGAGATGCTAAACTGCAGTGGAAATCTGACTCCATCCCCCCAAAAGCAATGTTTGGTTTGGAAACCAGGATGAGAGAATGGAGTTATAAACTGAGTTGGCTGGGAATTTTTCAACAAAATAGGTCTTTCATCTGACATGGCTCATTTATTGAAACCAAAAGTGTTTGCAGAAATATGAGGGGTCCAGGCTGACTCCACCTGACTCAGGCAAGTGCTCTAAGCTTCTGCTTCCTCTCCCACTCTTTTGCCCAATGAATATTTAATTACTGATATAAAACAAAATAGCTCCAACAGGGGAAAAATTCTCCCCACCCTTAGAACAACCAACAGTTATGCTGTTAGGATGTGTCCATGATACTTGAGAGGCGAAAGATTGAGTGCCTCCTTCAAATCAGGCAGAACAGAGGGCTTTAAATTAAATCTCCCATTTTTGGGGGGTAAATCTGTTGCTAGCTATTTTGGGACACTGTCACTTTCTGAATTTTACAAAAGAAAGTTCAAAAGTCCTATTTTTGTTCCATCCTAAAACACAAAATGTTACAAAACATCAAAATTTTGCAAAACAGAAATCTTATTTTCTGGCCTGTCCTAGTTACAGAGTTCTTAGGTTTTTTTCAATTACATCCAAAAGACAATCAAGTCAATATGATTTCCATTTCAACTTTGTAAATAAGAAAATAGGATTCCTCAGGGTCTTGGTTTGGCAAGGTTTAAAGGACTTACTTAGAGAAGTTTTTGCTTTCAGTATTGGGCTCCATTTGCTGTTATTGTATAACTTTAAAGAAAACCGTTCTATTTAAACGGAATTAGGCTACCTATTTTCCTTGTTTCACATCTACCAAAATAATCTGCATTGATGTTGAAAGGCAAGTCTCTTGAAATGCAAATTTCCCTCATAAACAACAAAATCATCTTCCTAACTTTTGTGAGCAAGGGGCACTCAGAAGCACTGAGTTACTTCAAAGGAAGCTGGGCGTAAGAAACTTACCTGACCCGTTTCTTCAAACCTCTTCCTATCTGCACTGTCAATGACATAGATCTGAAAAAGAAATGAGAGGAAAAGTTACTCTTCCCAGAAGACACTCTTCCACAGTATCACATACTTAAGTGAGCTGAGCCTAATAATTATGCTTTTGGGCACAAAGATCCCCGGTATTATTTATAGCAAATGTTGACAAAACTTCATGACGTTCTGAAAGGAGAGGAACCACCTCTTTTAAAGCTGGGGGGGGTGGACAGCCACGTGGGCAGGATCAGAAAGGAGCTGGGGGCAGTACTGGGGATGCTCTCACCATCTCCACAGCATCTACTATCTGAAGAGAACAGGAGACTGCCTGGTATCTTTTCAAATGACCGGCTTACAAGCTGAAGCTGAGCACAGGAGGGCAAAACCTGGGGAGCCAGACATGGTCTTTCACCCTAGCAAACAGTGTACAAGCACTACACTGGTGTGACTACGCCATGCTGCCCTCTAGCAGGACGCATCACCTCCTCAATAAGCCACCAAGGCACACAACGGCACTCAGGGGACAGATGAATATATTGGGGACATTGAGTTCCTCTCCATCAGGCAATTCTACTACAACCTCCTGGAGCAGGTGGTTGGGGAGGAGGGCTGGATCTAGCCTGCAAGACTCCATTTTTGGCTGCCAGCTTGTCCACCAGGATGATGGAGAAGACAGGGAGCAGCTGGCTCACAAAGACTGACAGCAGAGTCCTGCCACCCTCTCAGGGCTGGGTACCACAACTCATGGTCCACAAGGAGGTCCCAACCAGACACCTGTCCCCTGGTATGGAGAAGGCTGGATCCCCCAGCCCGCAGGTTCCCTGCCTTGGGAGGGGGTCTCCACCCTCTCCAAGCAGCACGGCACGTGCTGATTTCTTTCTGTAAATGCAAACGAGCCTTCTCAGTGAAGGCAGCTCTAGGTCTGCACAGGCTAAAAGGCTCCTCAAAGGTCCCCCTACATATGTAATTAGTAAGTCCAGCCACTCTCCTTCCCCCTAGCAATGCTACTGCAGTTCAGAGTGCACAAGTTACCAAGCTACATCTGAAGAAATGGGGAACCTCAGTATAACACTCAGGCAAGAATAGCCTGGCATCCCTTTTCCATTACTTGATAGGGGAAGGTTTTTGAAGGCGAAGGGCGCTGGGACAGCAGACAGGGACAGGACTGGTGACAAACACTGAGCATTTTGCTTCCAGTCCCTGCCATTCCCCATCAGCGGTGATTGAAGCTGCTAGCATGTCATCTGCATGCTCTTTGGTGGCTTACAGGGAGCAAGTGTCAGCCTGGTTTTCAGGGAATAGATGAGCACAGCACCCCGCCATGAAGATAAATGGCATCCTTGCAGGCAGTCTCAGCGTAAGACTCCATGCTTCCAGGATAATTTCGACCAAATAGTAGGGGGAGGGAAGATCTCTAGCAGCAATATCTATTAAACTGTAGGCACTCCCTTAATGAGCAGTGTTAAGGGTTGTTTGAAATGGGACCAAACACGCAGCAGGAGAATCTGTATGCCAGGCCTGAGAAGGTAACCCAGCAACCTCGCAGACCTCTCTGCTGATCACTTGGGGTCTGTGGTCCTCCCGGAGCCAGGCTGATGCACACTGACAGAGGCTGGGGGACACGCAGCAGGGCTGGATGTAGCTGCGTGGGGATGTGTCAGCAGTGCATGCACTTGGTGCCACATGATGGGGAAAGGCCCGTGGGCACGGCGTGATACACAGCCTCTCCCCGCAATGTGATCCCAGGCACGTGCACCAATACTGTATCAGCTACGCCCATTCTCTCTGCCCCTCCCAAGCATCCTCCCCTGTGCATCCCATTTGGGGTAGGAAACACAGACCAAAAGAAAGAAAGAAGCTGCAGGGCTGGCAGTTGTGCTCTGGGGTGAAACTGGACTGTCATCTGTCCTCCTTCGGGACATCTCAGGGGAAGCTTAGCAACACATGAACACAACAGTCAAGTGCTACTTCTCAACTGAAAGGCAGCACCTCCCATATTACGGTGCTTCTTTAACTGGCAAGGAAGAGCTGAGTCCCAACTAGCCAGGCTTTCTCCTGCACCGCTCCGTTCCTTGCTAGGGAGCTACTTTGCAAGATGAGAATTGGAGACAACAGCGCTCGGGGCAAAAGCCACAAAAGCACAGCACAGAGCAGGTAAAGTATGGCTCCATTCCTTGCTAGGGAGCTATTTTGCAAGATGAGAATTGGAGACAACAGTGCTCGGGGCAAAAGCCACAAAAGCACAGCACAGAGAAGGTAAAGTATGTGCGGAGTGCCTACTTCCAAACCAGAAAGCACTGTGCCAAATAGCTGCAGGTGCCTGTCTGAATATGCAATCAGCCAGATATCCAGCCACAAAAACAGCACAGAGCAGGTAAAGTATGGCTCCATTCCTTGCTAGGGAGCTATTTTGCAAGATGAGAATTGGAGACAACAGTGCTCGGGGCAAAAGCCACAAAAGCACAGCACAGAGAAGGTAAAGTATGTGCGGAGTGCCTACTTCCAAACCAGAAAGCACTGTGCCAAATAGCTGCAGGTGCCTGTCTGAATATGCAATCAGCCAGATATCCACACCTTATTTGCCTGGGTTAAGCTTCCAAATATCACAGGTGTGTGATGCAAGACCAAGCTCTCATTCAAAGGCACCTGCATGGATTTGAATTTGCAATCACTTCCTGCTTTTTAATACCCTTTAGAGGGTCCTTTCTGCTTTGTGCAATATAGTTTAGGAGAAGACAGTAGCAGGGGGTCCTGGGAACTGTAGCGTATCTCATCTCCACCTTCCTTCTATGGCCAGGGCCACACAAGACCGTTTCTGGCTGTGGTGCTCGGTAGCATGGTTTGCCAGTTTGAACAGCCATTGAGTACACCATGTGGGAGAAATGGAGCTTGAGAAAAAAATTACCGTACAGCTGGGTGCCTCCTTTGAGCAACAGGCCAAAACAAAACCTGGAGTAAATGGGTTGGGCAGAAATTGCAAGTGGTGGGACTGGATGAAGAAATAACATGAGGGATAAGTTAGCTCAATTTACAGAGGCTCAACCTGCACCAGGTTAGTCAGAGGGTAAAATTACTGGCTAAAACAGGGGTGAGGGCTGGCAGAAGAGAGAGAGAGAGAGAGTCATCAGCATATACTTGATTCCAGTTTTGGTGTGTATGGACATAGCAAAGCACTGCACTAACATGCTGACAGCTCCCAGTCTGGGACTGGGTGTCAGCACGGAGTGCAGGCAGGGGAGCTCAGGTCCATGTGCGCACCAGTTATTCCCTCTAAATTCACACCGCTGCTTCCCCCAAACTGATTCTGCTTCTATCTACCCATTTTCTTACCTGTATGAAAAGAAAGGTTTTCTTTGTACACTACTTTAACTGGGGTGGGAGGAGGGCAGGGAAAACAGCTGCTTTCATATCCTTCAGTCTTCAAATTCACCTTTATTTCTGCACCTCCCATGCAGCACACACTGGGAAGGAGGGAAGCCCACAGGCCAGTGTAGCTCATTGCCTTTGCCAGCAGAGTCTTCCAGATACTGTTTTGCGGTTGCACAGTCTCTGCAGCCTGAGCACCTGCCATAACAGGCAAAGATCCCCTAGCTGCTGCTTTGCAATGTTGACTTTGATCTGCACACCTACTGCCTCCCCACCACACACAGCTGCAGAGCTTGGACTCAGTGGGCACAATCACCTCACAGCCATGCCATGTCCCCCTTCGCGATCACTACAGAGGAGCACGTGAAGTGTGTCCTGCTAGTTTCTCAAACCCAGATCTTTCCCCTAGGAAGATGTCACCATTACTCTTTGCAAAAGCAACCAACTGGGTTTATGCTGTGATGGCTCCTCTCAAACATCAGATTCCAAATCAAGGCTGAAAAAGGGGGATCTGCAAAAGAGATTACTAAGGGTTTATTGGTCCCATTTAAATAACAGCTTCATTTGGACAATGTTTTCTAAACCTGCAGGCGCAGCCAGGCCCTTCAGGACCCTGACACAAGCCTTGGAGTAGAGAGTCCTATTCCTAGTTGCACTGATCCTTCTATGGAAGTGCACTGAAGCTCCTGACACATTAGTGAGTACGTGTGTGTGACAGGAGGGAGGAAGGGTGTCTTTCTGAGAGAGCTTCCCGCATTCCCACAGGAGCCCTGCAGACCTTGCTTAGAATAGCCTTTTCTCTGTTCCCACAGTCAACATTGCTTGGGGTGGGGAGAGGCCTGGAGCCCCAACCTGCCTTCATCCTGGCACACGTGGCTGCATGTTAGAAGTGATCTTTGAAACTAGTCAGGACAGCACTTGGAGGGTCCCAGGGTAATGTGCTCTGGCATGGAAACACAAAGGTCCTGCACTGTAAATATAATTGTAGTCATCTGTAGCTAATTGTAAGGTAATTACAGCTAAGTTGTTGAAAACATTAAAGGACAGTCTTTATGATTAAAGGAGCAAAAGAAAAGACAAGGGGTCTCTCTGTGTCCCTCAGCCAGAAGCTTTCCTATCTGATGCCAGACATAGCATTTAGTTCTGCCGTGCCTCAGTTTCCCCATCTAGAAAACAAAAGCACCATACTGACCTACCTCTGCACATGAGGCTTAAGTCACTAATGCCCACGACAGACCTTCAGAGTCTCCAGTGAAAGGAGCTATAGATGGGTAAACTACAAGTTATTAATGTTCTTTCATTTGAAGGAGACTGAGATGAGAGGAAAGGAACTGGCTATAACCAGCACCATCCTGTGAAAGTAAAAACATACAACTGAACGATTTCTCCAACCACCACTGTATTTTTCTTACTGCACCCAACCAATCTTGCCATTTTACTCAGAATAACTCCTGTTACAATGGCAATGGTGTTGCTGAGGACTGGGACATTACATTACTTGTTCCTGAATTTCTGGCTGAGACCTTGGAAAGCCATTGCATGAACACGGCATTCAACTGCAGCCAATACTCACAAGGATATCAGTGTTTTCAAAATAGTTCCTCCAGTATGGTCTGATCTTCCTCTGTCCGCCTATGTCCCATACATTCAGCTTGAAGCCTTGAGACTGTACACTTTTTATGTTAAAGCCCTGGAAAGAGGAGAAACAAAGCCACATAGAGCATAAACCTGAATGGCTGGATCACGTACATAAGGAGACATTAACACCTTATATATCCCATGCCTGCAACATGCAGCAAGATGGGCTGGGCAGCCACAAAGATGGATCGGCTGTGGGAGAGGTGCTGGTGAAAGTGAACACAGCCGCCAAACCATCAGTTCGCCAGTGTTCTTGGGTCAAGGGTTGATGCTGTCATGGCTACAAAGACATATGACGCAGTTAGTGCCCTGGGAGGGCTCAGCAGGGTGGGTGCAGGAAGAGGTGGGAGAGCTGCAGATAAGGAGAAAACAAGGGTGCTGTGAGAAGCAGGACTGAGCTTGTGAAAGCTGAGTAGAGAGTCCCAGCTAACATGAAGCCAGAGGTCTTGGCTCAATTCGACACGACACAGCTAATGCCAGGCTTAAAAGAGCAACAGCTGCACGTCTGAAGGGTCCATTTCATCAATTAGAGCACCAATTGAAAGGGCATTCAAGTAGAAAAACAGGATGTGGCGTGGGCTGGCAACATGCTGCCACACCACCCAGGAGACTGGGGCTTGGAATCAGGGTGTCGGGGCTGGGAGCTTTGGGAGGCAGCTATGGGGTGAGGGGAAGCATCTCCCATAGCTCTCTAGCAACCTCCTCTGGTCAACACAGGAGCAATGCTGCAGTGCTTCTGATGGAGACATCCCTCACCCCAAGCCTGAGGCTCAAAGAAAGGGGATCAGAGGCATCAGAGAGGGAGTGCTGGAATATGCAAGACCCTTGGAGCTGGCTGGGTGAAAGACTCAAGGAGACAGGGGCTTGCTCAATGCTGCACCATCCCCTGTACATGTCCCCTGTTTGGCAAGGGCAACAGGAACAGTCTCATCCATGCGCAATCCTAGCATGACCCAAAAGCCTTCTGCAGAACTCCACAACACCCATCGACTTTTGCACTACCTGACAGATCTGGCCTGGCACTCTCTGGCTCCTTCAGGGAGCCTCCTCTTAAGCAGATAACATACAAACTTAATGGTGCACCAGGCTCCAGTTGCTTCCCCCTTTACTGAAATACTCTGCTGAATCCTTAGTGCTTTGTATAATAAGGCAGGTGGGACCACAAGAACTGCCTTGAGCAGGGAAAGGCCTTCCTCACCTGTGTTGGTGTGATGTGGCTGATGTCCTCAGATGCCAGCTGTTTCAGGAGTGTGGTCTTGCCTGCATTATCCAGTCCCAAGAGGAGGATTCTGACCTCCTGGTCTGGGGTGCTTTTCAGTTTACGCAGGATTGACAGCAAACCCTAAATCCGCAAGAGAGATCGTAGCTGTTATTTCCCCCTCTGACTCTCTCCCCCCACCATGCCCATGCCCTCCTCCCTTGAAATGGGTTCTGTATGGCAGTGGATCCCAGGACACCTTGAACCCCTTCCTCCAGTCCCTATTCCCATTTCCTCTTCTACTCCTCCCCCTTGCCCCCATTTTCCTTCATCTCAGAGAGTATCGACGAGGTCTCAGACAGCACAAATGTCGCTCAGTGGGGTGCACCACTGGCTGCATTGCTCTTGTCACACAGCTGTTTGGCATTCCCTTTGCCAGGAAGACAGTGCCTACGGATATCACGTGTAGGAGCTGCAAACCAAGTCCTTGCAAGCTCTTCATTATCTTTATCAGAGGGAAAACCCCATTAATTTAATCTCCCTCCTAGTTAACTGCAGGTTACTGTGTACCTGACATCAGTTCTTTTCATAGTAACTCCCTGATCATCTCAAACCCCGTTTATCTGTCTAAAACATGCTGGACCCATGGGGCACGTGCAGTTCTGATTCTCAGGACGTAGCACTTAACTATCTCAGATCACCACACATCCTCACTAAGAAAAGCACAGTGGATTTCAGTCATTAGCCAGACTCAGCTCTCTGAGCTGACAGTATCACTCAGGATTAGGAAACAGAATATGCAGGTCAGCTCATTTACAACCGTGCACGTTACAGCAGCACACCCAAGCTTTTGTCAGTGTCACCGCTCAGAGACCTGCACCTCTCTAAAATGGCTGGAAAAATATTCTGGATCCTGGCACGTAACTGAGAGACGCAAACCACCCCACTTCCACCTGCCTCTCGCTGCCCAGCCCAGCCCCACAGGAGAGGGCCAGTTGCAGCCGAGTGCACAGGAGCAGGCTGCGAGTCCACGACTGCCTGGGTGTCCTTGGACACGTTACCTCGCTGCTCTGCACCCCCCTGCTTGGCAGGGACTGCTCCTCAGAGCCTAAGCAGTGCACGCCACACTGAGACCCAGCCTGGGGACACAAGATACTCTTGCAACTAATTTGCCTAAGCAAATCCGAGAGAGGAATACACCTACAGCCCTTTCTGGAGCCCTGAGGACTCCTGCTCGGTCTCTCCCAGACAATTCCCATGTCCTGAAGGGCAATGGCGAGGTGTTTCTCTTCAGCCCACTAAGACCCAGAGCCAGGAACAAAGTTCAGATATCAGCACAAACCCGGGCCCATCTCAAGCTTTTTTATTCTCCCATTTGCAAAATGGAGACAATGCTTCTTGTCGACCTGCAAGGGTGAATCAGTTAAATGTCATGAAGTGCTTTGTTGCTATGAGGAACTACACCCTCTAAATATTCCTGCTGGGAGCCAAGGACTATTTGAGCCGTGAAGGTTGCTCCCGATTCCCTCCAGATCACGGCAATCAGAAACCTGTCCTCAAGATAAAGAGCTGCAGGACGCGGTACAACTGTCACCGCTGCAACGTGTCCCCTGTCTGTAGCAGCGCCCTTCTGCCAACTCCTGGAGAGCCCCACCTCAGCCATTTGGAAACCGCTGCTTTCGACCGCTCATCACGCCGCTCTGAGGTGTGGAGCGTTTTTGGAAAGGACACGGCACTACAGGTCGCAATGCCAAAGCTTTCAATAACGTGGGATGAAAACACACAGAGATTCAAATGCACGTGAGATTCGATCCATCCCTCTAAGCATTTTTGATTTGCAAGTAATTTATCGGTTTTCCATTTAGAATCATAGAATCATTGAGGTTGGAAAAGACCTCTAAGATCATCGAGTCCAACCGTCAACCCAACACCACCATGTCCACTAAACCATGTCCCTAAGTGCCTCATCTACTCGTCTTTTAAATACCTCCAGGGATGGGGACTCCACCACTCCCCTGGGCAGCCTGTTCCAATGCTTGACAACCCTTTTGGCGAAGACATTTTTCCTAATATCCAATGTAAACCTCCCCTGGCACAACTTGAGGCCATTTCCTCTCGTCCTATCGCTTGTTACTTGGGAGAAGAGACCGACACCCACCTCACTACAACCTCCTTTCAGGGAGTTGTAGAGAGCGATGAGGTCTCCCCTCAGCCTCCTTTTCTCCAGGCTAAACAACCCCAGTTCCCTCAGCCGCTCCTCAGAAGACTTGTTCTCCAGCCCCCTCACCAGCCTCGTTGCCCTTCTCTGGACACGCTCCAGCACCTCAACGTCCTTCTTGTAGTGAGGGGCCCAAAACTGAACACAGTATTCGAGGTGCGGCCTCACCAGGGCCGAGTACAGGGGCACGATCACTTCCCTACTCCTGCTGGCCACACTATTTCTGATACAGGCCAGGATGCCATTGGCCTTCTTGGCCGCCTGGGCACACTGCCGGCTCATGTTCAGCCGGCTGTCAACCAGCACCCCCAGGTCCTTTTCCGACAGGCAGCTTTCCAGCCACTCTTCCCCAAGCCTGTAGCGCTGCATGGGGTTGTTGGGGCCAAAGTGCAGGACCCGGCACTTGGCCTTGCTGAACCTCATACAGTTGGCCTCGGCCCATCGATCCAGCCTGTCCAGGTCCCTCTGCAGAGCCTTCCTACCCTAGAGCAGGTCAACGCTCCCGCCCAACTTGGTGTCATCTGCAAACTTACTGAGGGTGCACTCGATGCCCTCATCCAGATCATTGATAAAGATATTAAACAAGACCGGCCCCAGTACTGAGCCCTGGGGAACACCGCTCGTGACCAGCCGCCAACTGGATTTGACTCCATTCACCACAACTCTCTGGGCCCGGCCATCCAGCCAGTTTTTTACCCAGTGAAGAGTACACCTGTCTAAGCCGTGAGCCGCCAGCTTCTCTAGGAGAATGCTGTGGGAGACGGTGTCAAAGGCCTTGCTGAAGTCCAGGTAGACCCCATCCACAGCCTTTCCCTCATCCACTAGGTGAGTCACCTGGTCATAGAAGGAGATTAGGTTGGTCAGGCAGGACCTGCCTTTCATGAATCCGTGCTGGCTAGGCCGGATCCCCTGGTTGTCCCGCTCATGCCTTGTGAGCGCCCTCAAAATGAACCGCTCCATAATCTTCCCCGGCACCGAGGTCAGGCTGACAGGCCTGTAGTTCCCCGGATCCTCCTTCCGGCCCCTCTTGTAGATGGGCGTCATATTGGCAAGCCTCCAGTCGTCCGGGACCTCCCCCGTTAACCAGGACCGCTGATAAATGATGGAAAGCGGCTTGGCGAGCACCTCCGCCAGCTCCCTCAGCACTCTCGGGTGGATCCCATCTGGCCCCATAGACTTGTGAGCATCCAGGTGGCGTAGCAGGTCATTGACTGCTTCCTCTTGGATTACGGGGGGTTCATCCTGCTTGCCGTAATTTAATTACCAGACACAGCTCAAAATACGTGCACAATGTGTAAGAAACGGAGAAGAGAAGGAACTTCGTAAAATTGGGTTTGAAGGATATCTGCAGAAAGTTGCAGGACTGCTACTGTTGCTGTGCTTTTAAAAAGCACTGTGGAAAGCTGAGGTTCAGAAATTCAGAGCTCGTGCAAGGAACTGCAACACTGCAGTCTTACAGCCCAATAAGTGGGATCAGGGTATCACCTATTTCATAAACAGGCTGGTAAAAAACTGGGAATCCAGACCCTGCTCAAGAGCTGTTAATCAGGAACGGGGTCTGCTTGGTAGAGGGTGTCATGCCTGCACAGTGCAGGCACAGTAAATCCCCAAACTGCTTTTAGTCGAAGCGAACAGGCCTGTAACATCACGTGCTGAGCCCTGAGGGCCAGATGCTCACAGCTGGCTCTCGCCCATGGGCCCGTAGCTAATGAATTTGAAGGGCTGTGTTCAGCGCAGCCAGTCTCTGCAAGTTCTCCCAACCCAACAGCTCATCTCCCCGGCCGCAGTGCCCAGCCCGTGTTCTGCCCCGATGACAGTACTTCCACATGTCTGGGGGAAGAAAAAAGGAACAGTGACAGAAATACCTCTAATGGTTACCTGTTTACATGCATGTCCTAAGTGCCCTTGACATCATTAAAAAACACAAGTTTTAACTGCATGACTAGCAACAGACATTTTCTTTTCACCTGCAGTCAAATTTACAGTTGTGTTTGTTGGCTTGTAAATCCATGGATTTCAGCTCGGTGTGGACAGACCCCACAGGAGCAGGAACTCTAAAATTCACACATTCTCCCTCCTTTCCAGGGAAACACTGAATTTCCAGTTCTTATGGGCCTGACCCAAAGCCAACCCACACCAGCCAAAGTACTACTGCTGACTTCAGACAGCTCTGAATCAGGCCCTATTATTTTAGTTTATTGCTCACAGTTAAAAAAAAGAAGCTGTTGAAATGCTAATCCTATTCACAGCACCACTTGCTAAGAGCAGAGCAGCATATCCCAGAGCAGATCAGGATTAGGAGCCTTTATATTTCAGAATTCAACTCCAAAATACTAAGCGCAAAGAAATGTATTACAAAGTATTGCTTATCTACCACGGAGCAATTCTCAGGGGTCAGGAAGAGGAACAGTTGTAAATGTTAATAGAGCTTCTCCCATTGTAGACGGATGCTATTTCTGGGCTAGTATGACAGCCTACGAGAAAACGATCAGCATCATTCCATATTCTACTCAAGTGACACTGCTGCTTGGCTGATCACAGGATTATCTGGGGTAGCCAATAGAAGAGAAGATATATATAGAAATAAAAGTATTCTCTAAGGTATAAAGTAAGCTGATTTAAAAGGCTGGAAGACAAGCAAGCCAACATAGAGAAGTGGACTTTATTTCAGTAGCTGCCGGCATAGGTTACATGGTCTGTATACACAACTTAAATCAAGAGCCAAATAATAGTATTGGTTACTATGATTGTTACTGTTTTTTAAATATTATTTAAAACTTGCACCCAGCATTCTCCCTCTAGTTAGTGAAGATTTAAGATTAAGGAAAGCCATGCACAGATGGGTTTCTAACTTTTTTTTTTTTTTAAATTGGTCTTACGAGCACACTGGCTAGGAAGACAGAAAGCATTTCCTGACAGCTTAGTA